AAGGTTTGCAGTTGGCTTAGTTATTAAATAGAATGTTTTCTGTTTAACGTGGTTAGCATTCTTTTATTACCTACAAATTTCGTAATGCTGGGATACATTTCCGCAATGTTCAATTTTGCGCTAAAGCTCGTCGTGTTCGTAATTAAGTCTTGAAAGTTCTTGATTTGAAGGAGAGAATACATTGATTGGTAATTAATTTAAACATCTATCATCTGTAGCTAAATAAAATGCGACGACGTGCAGAGTATGCAGGGAAGATTTCAAAAACACCAAAAGATGTGCCACACCTCTGGGACAGTGTTGCTACTGAACTATTTATATTTACCCTGGATTAAAAGTGACTTTCAGTTCAAACCTCATCGCATCTTAGAATGGGCGTGAACTTGTACGAAGGGGTGACATTAGGGAGGGCAACTAAAGGAACCAAGTGACGTTTTCCGCGGCGGTGACGCTCTACCGAATGAGCTGCATGAAAATCGTCTTAAAGTTGGACTATATTTTCAATTCATACGTAAAAAATAGAGTAGTATCTTAAGATATGGTTTACAACCAGCTCAGTTAATAAGAAGAAACTCTTTCCACTTAGATTTGCTGTTTTTTAAAATTATTATTACCCTTCTCGCAAATAAAATATATTAAAGTTCACACGGCAACCAGGTGGACAATCAGACATAGTTTGATGCTACTCTGGTTTGCAGATTTAATGAATGTAACTGAAGAAGTAACAACTCATAGACCCAACGTTTCGACACTCCTGTCTAGTGCCTTCATCACCCCTGATGAAGGTACTAGACAGGAGTGTCGAAACGTTGGGTCTATGAATTGTAACTTCTTCAGTTACATTCATTAAATCTGCAAACCAGAGTAGCATCAAACTATGTCTTATTATTACCCATTCCCTTTTATTCCGTAGGAAATTTGTGTTCCGATGTATGTCCTCAATTTTACATCTTGAACAAAACCAAGCTACCAATTCGATGAGGAATGATATGTGTATCAACATATAAAGACTTATTATCAGCAAGGATAAAAAATGATGAGAAAAACAAAAAAGAAACAAAAACGACAAGATTCCCCGCGCCAGGGTTTGAACCCTGACCACGGGGTCAGATGCTCTACCCACTGAGCTGCGGGGAACTTGTCAACATCTGAGGTAGAACTGTAAGCTCATGTTTTCGATGTTTTTTTTACTGCCAGGATCAAACTTAGCAACGGAAGCGAAGAAGTGTATTGAAAACAGGGTAAAAGTACTTGTACCAATGTTGGAGATATTACTGTCGGACCACTGAATGAAGTAAAAGTACTGTAATCAAGTAACATAATTGTACCAGCTTACAGTTGATAGATGAATAAAGACAGAATACAGACAGCAATTAAAGAGCGAGTGTCTACACTGAATAAATACGCAACAGGCGCTATCTCATCGTACGATAATTTTTGAGCAATGGTTTGCTGATGGCTTACTCAGCATGAATGAACATCAGTAAGATAATAAAGGAAAAGTCTTTCGACTTAAATGAAAGGTTATTATACTGATTCAGCTATTTTATTGAATTGAGGCAAGAGACTATAAGATCGAGATTAAGTTCATGGTGTGGAGAAGAGTAAAACTTACCATAAACTGGGGATTAGTGTTCATTTATTTCCAAAAAGAAAACACTCAGCGGACAAACACCGTCACTCACCACTATTCATCGGCGAGGAAGAAGATGAGAAAACAAACAGATATACAAAACAAACTGAAGCAAAAAACAAACGAACAAAACAGTAATAGATGAAAAAAAGATAAAACTTGGTATTAACCTGTTAAAAGCGCGTTTAAATAGAAAAATTAGACCTGCGATAGACATTTATACCATTTTTGTTATTTGATAATGATCATAAGAGTCACTAAGTTTGTATGATTATGATAGTGATATTAATAAGCATATTTAGGGAAGGAACAGGAAGTTTGCAAAAAAGGCCCCCGTATTTACACGGATCTTTTTCATTTTCCCAGCACATAAATTGAAATTGTGGACTGGCATTTAAAATGAAAGAAGATTAGATGACTTGCGTTTGTTGATGAATTATGATTTTCTTGTTGTAACTCGAAGAAAAAAAACAGAGAAAAACTTTGTTTAATTTTTTCCAGTAGTTGTCTAGTGCACGCCCTTGTGTTGTATACGAGAAGGTTCAATTTAAGTTGAAACGAAATTTTCAACACTAAGTGGCCATTTGATGAAACGCTCATAGACTGACTTTCGTCGGGTCGGTTGGGAAGATGTTTGGGTCGAGGTCATGACTTGTGGACCGCGCGAACTGTACATTGATATGTGTATATAATTCTTTCAATACTTTTCCCGTTCCTCTTCTATTAATTTTCCAGAAGTTCCATGGTTAGTTTTTTACGAATCAAACAATGTCTTCTGATCTGTTCATACGGAAAGTAAATTTACAATGGACGTATTTCACACCAGTAGAATAATAAAAATTAATACCAGTCGCGTTGGACAGGTAAGTTTTCCTATTATATTGCAAAAGTGTTTCTTAGTACAATTGGATGGAAACCTATCACCAAGTAGAATTCATTCTTTGATTAAATAAAACGATTTACGAAATATTGTGCTCTTATTTCAGAATGATCATTTTCTTTTATTTTAATCAGCCCTCGTCAATTATTGAGCTAACCAAGACAACCAATAGAAATCATTTTTATTTTTAATATCAATAAATATATATATTGACCAATGGATAAAAAGGAAAGAACGGCTCAAATTCATCTAATTGGTGCAAAAACAGTATAAATACTGCACCCAGAAACGTGTGTGCTCCACCTTCAATAAAAGTTTGCCAGTTTAAAGGGTCTACCCAAAACTCAAACAGACAAACTGGTTTCTGTTTTGGTTATTTCCAGGAAGAGAGAGAGACCACCCCCCGGTTTCTCTTGGTTTCACCAAAAAAATAGCTTCAAAACAAGTAAAACGTGTAAAGTTGTCACTGCGATGGGGACTTTAAGCAACGAGAACGGGGACGGGGACGGGGACCGCAGGCTCTCAGGGAAAATCCAAATAATCATCTGCGCATGACTGGCGGGAAAAAGTTCGGCCCCGACGTGAAACAAGTCACTTTGACGTTGGCTGAAAACGTGAGTATTCTTTTTCGCCTTCTCTGCTATCTAAACGTTAAATATTCTCGGGAGACAATTTAAAATAACTTTCATCGCTTTTTTCTTTCATAAAGTGAGATTATTCGTTAATTTGATGGTTTGTTTTCGAACAGAAACGTCGAGACGCTGATCGAGACCGACACCATTTAACGAAAATGTGAGTAAGAAATGTAATGTAAATAATCTTAGCTAACACTGATACCAATCGAAAATTCGCCGCTGAGAATCACTCAAAAGTCAAGAGTTTGACAAAGAAGATATTCTTACCAGATTTAAAAGGGCAGACAGCACAATTTTGAAGAATTTTGTCGCGCCAGTCGACAAACATCTACCGAGAATATTTTCTTTCAATTTACTTTGTAGGATGCTATCATTCCACTGCAAAATTCTGTGACTGTGTGCCTAGTAGATGTAGTCGATCATGTAGTTGTTTATCATGCATAACACTGGAACAGGCTTCCCAAAGCGAGCTATCATGTTTTAATATTGACAAGGATAGCTAGGTCTCTTTAGAAAAATGCAAAGAGCCTGCAATCCGCTACAGATACTTCTTTGATAGAACTCCACTACCTCAGGAATCCCCAATACTTCAGCCAGAAATGGTAAGCTCGTTCTTGTAGAAGCGAAACTCTGAAAGGCACTCGTCGTCTTCCAAATCATCGAAGTCAAAACCAGGATAAGAGTTGTACAGAAGATCAACATTATCGGACCTGTTCGCTCGATAAAAGTGTCGCCGGCGTTGAATTGCGTGACCTAAAGAATGAGCCAGCAATATTTTGACCAGTGGGCTTCCTGTTAAATAAAAATATCCGAAGACAAAACCACTTGATTTTGAGGGTAATGACAATAACTTGAACGAAAAGTGAGATGCAAAGATTTGTATTTTTCGAAACCTAATAACAGCTGTACCCCTCTCCTGTAGTCTTAGTCCTTATCTCGTGCCTTCTTTGGTCAGTTTCGAACTCTGAAGCTAGATCATCAGTATTGGTGCCTTCGTCCTTACTCGTACTTACAGAGGGGGATCTCTTCAGTACTTTGTGAAAGATTTCTAGTCTTATGACCTTAGTAAGGCCCTGAGGTGCTCCAAACTGTGCCAGCGAGTCTACGCCATAAACTTGTCGCAGTTCCAAAGTCAGTATCTGCGTATCCCTTGCAATCATATGATACAAAGTTCATGACAGTCAGTACTCACCAATTGGGAAAATTGATGTTCAGAGAAGCGTCCTTCTTCCTTAAACATCAGTTGACAAAAAGATAACCGTTACAGTACGCGTTCTATTATTCTTGCCACTAGGAAGACCCTCCACCAGCTTTGATTTCTTCCGCCATCTTCAGATTTAGCTCGCTCTCAACTTAAAGGTCTCCAATTTTTATGAGAACGATATTGGCAATTACGAACACCTCGTACCAATCTGTACACAATATTTGAACCACATCGTGAAATCGCAGCCTTCGTAATCTCCAAAACAGCCAATACTAGCTATAATAAGCTACTTCTCGGACGAAACGCACATTTGGAACACATTGCTGTGTCTTAAATGTTCTTTTATACTGTACACCCACGGATTTAAAGGTATGAAGTGTTGCCCTCTTGGCCAGCGCGAGGAAAATAACATTTGGTTCGATAATTAGTTCCAAATGAACAAGGCAACTGCGTCATCTTGACTTTTAGAATAAATTGAGGGCTTTCTAAACGCTTGGTCACTTGTACAGCATCAGCATGAGGACGCAATACAACTGACACACGTACAGTACATAGGAAGAGTAATGTCCGTTGCGCTGTTGTGAGAGGACCTCAAAGGAGATTTTTTTTCCTTTTACGGAACAAACTATTGACCATCACTGCAAGAACTGAGAAAGTAAAAACTTTTATTTATCTCCCATGCGTTTCGTCTGACAATGGCAGAATTCATCATGGAATTTTACAAGAACGGTAAATAAGCTTTCTTAACAACAAATACGACGTAAAACTGAACCTGTTTTAGGCAGCCTTTTTGTTCATCCTCTATCTGACACAAGACACCAAAAAATTCCAAACACTGCAATCAACAATTCATAATATGATTGGTGCATTTTAACTACTTACAAATTCAATTTATTTCTTAGAGTAAATTTTATGTAAACATATATTGTCTACTGATCAACCCATCAGTAATGAATTACATGATATGCGACAAATATGGTTGCTAATGATTTCACTGACAACCTAGCTGTATGTTTTGTTCTATTTTATTTTTTTCTTTTCAGAACATCAAGCTCTTACCAATGATGTATATTTAATAGATGGTAACCAGACCAGCCCAACAGCTAATCACATTGCTTGAAAGTACATATATACATCACAAACAAATTACAAAGTTCAATGTACTACTGAACCTGTTTTAAGTAGCCTTTTTGTTTTTCCTCTATCTGACACAAGACACCAAAAATCTTGGTTGGTTGGAGAATTTTGAGTTAGAAATTTTCACAAAACTTTGCCACCAGGAATGAACTAATGTTCAAAACTTCAAAAGGGGTGCTGTCTTAGAAGAATGTTGAAGCTCCAAATTGGCTGATACATATTTATATACCATACCCAGCCTATGAAATGCAATCACATCTTATCAATCCTAACACAATGAGCATACATTTTAATTTATAGTTCCTAACTTGCACATAATGCAAAACATCTATTCAGCCATAAGTGACATCATGAATATCCTGAAACAATTCTTCCCACAACAGATACACACAAAAAGGATCAAACTTAAAACAAACTGTATTCCTTCAACTTAAATTACTGCTATATCCTCCTTACAGTACATAAATAATACTGTTGAAAGACAGTTCAGTTCCTTTGAAAGTATGATTTATGTTCTTAATAGTCACTATATTACCTGTTTGTGAAAATATTTCTGTCCAAACATTTTAGATGCCATATGCTGTAGGCGCTGCAGAATGTTACAACAATGTAAGTGAATTCTTGTTTAAACATTTCTTCGACATAATATAAGACTCACTGCCTCAAAATAACAACAAAAATGTCATGACTCGCTAATGTTGACATCTTATTAGCCATTATCACTGACTAAGCAATTCAATTAAAAAATAACTTGTTGAAAAACCATGCACATTTCAATATTTTCAAAAAAAATTCTCTTCAAAACTTAAGTTAAAAATGTACAAATTTTTTGTTTGACGTGAAAAACATGTATATATTAAATGAATACATCCGTTCAAGGTCTCTTTTATCTTTTAACTGAAAATTTTTATAAAAATACCTTGTACATAGATTACCCTATACTTTTTAATCTTTCCTTCAACTTTTACCACATCTATCTTGTACTTGTCTATTAATAATCACCTAACAAAATACATATAACTTATCAAATTCTTTCAATTCATTGCTAGATTATTTTGAGAAAATGAAAAAGTCATTTATCACAATGATTCAGAATTTATGCACCATTGATTACCAGTTGAAAACAATTCAAAACCAGTTACAAAGGTCACCAGCCACAGTAAGTGAATTTTTTTTAAATTCATCCCTAGAATTGAACATTACCAATAAACCTAAATAATGGTAACACTTTCAAACATTTCAAATAGAAAATACAGTGAATATTTGTCCCTTATCATTACTATAGTATTTATCTAAACCTTAGAACTTTGCCACCCTTGTAACACCATACCTATAATGATAGTCAATCAAATACATCAAATCAAAATGTTCCAATCAATGACATTAATGCCTAATTCATTTCACAACCCGTGGTACACTGATCGCAACAAACTTCTTTAGAAACCTTAAGTAAACTTCTGGTATACTGAAAACCTAATTCAGGGTAGTTTAACACCTTAATCATGTATTCATTTGATCATTTTTTGTATAAAGATTATACATTGACATTACAAATGAAATCTAACAAAAATTTCCTTCTTTACATCTTATCAACTTCAGGAATTTAAGGTGGATCACATCATTTTAGTGACAAATTATCTCCTATATCTCACAGAACTCACAACAAAACAGATTGTTTTTTACCCATATGTTGGACATCTGTCAAACAGTAAGTTTCAACTTGTGTAGTTTACAATTAAATTTGATCACAACTACAATTACACAAGAAAACTGCCGCCTGGTTAGCTCGTGAGCATGAGCACCGGACTACTGTGCGGGAGGTCGGGGTCCAAGACCTAGACCAGACCCAAACTCAGGGTCTTAAAATAACTGAGGAGAATGTGCTGCCTTTGCTATGACATCTGCAAGCACTTCGACATTCTAGTTTTCTCAGATAAGGACAATAAGCCGTAGGCCCTGTGTCCTGCATCTTCTTGGTAATGGTTAGTGGGGGACGTGAAAGAACCCACACACTTATCATAAAGAATAGGGAAAGTAGTTCTGGTAAGTGGGGGAGGTGAAGTGGTCTGCCCTAGTGTTAATAGGTAGCTTATTTTTAAGGAGTCTTGTATTCTGTTTTAAGCCTACCTCAGATTTGTTAAATCTGAAAGTTGATTAAAGTAAAGTGAAATCAATTACCATTGATAGTCATAACACTTACAAAAAATTTTGCATTTTACATACTAGAACCGCTAATCATAAATTTTTGTGAAATTTTAATGCCCATTTTATATGTCATTTACTCCTTCTGATGTGCTCCTTTTGTTAATGACTTCTTATCCCACAGATTTCCAGATCAAACCTTGCTAAGGTATCTACAGTGGCAGTGGCAAATGAAGCTGAAGACAACTAAAGTGGTAACATTCTGCTTCATTATCTTCTTAGTATACTCTTCTTTACCATTATGTTCTGAGCTTCATATATCCATATAACTGATACCTTGATCTTTTGTCTCCTCAATACATTTCATGGCTTACTTCTATGTGACAACTGTGATGATCCTAAAATCCAACAGTCACATATTGTAAAAAAAATCTATCAAAATGCTCCCTATTATGTTAATAGCTGTTACAACTATTGTAACTACGAAGTACCACGCGATGGTCAAGACAGCTGAGTTGTTTTATTCATAACTTAGAAGTACATCGCAAGCATTGTGACGTCATAATTACATAATTTATGACAATAGCATAACTTGTGCAAAAATTTGCAACCTGATACAGCCTAAACATGACCTAACAAGGGCAAAAAAAGAGCTACATAACTCTGAGAACTGTTGATAAGTCAACAATGCATTTGATTTCACACCAATAACAAATTGTTACAGTCATGAGAACCCATGTTTTTTAAATTAAAATGTTATCTTGTTAATTAATATTACCTCTCAAAATTGGCTGTCACTTTGAAGGAAATAACATATTAGTCTAACCAAGTGTGCCTCAAGCTCACATCTAGAGAAAAAGCAAACAATTGATTCATGAAATCATCACATGTTGCATGACTCAGTGTTAAGTTAGGACAGGAATTGTTGACAATTTGAACACATCACAACAAATAAAATGGGGAACAAAATTTCATCCATTTAAAAGACTAAGTCAAAGCTGCTGCTATAATTTCAATCATTGTCCATGTACAGGCAATTTGCAACCTGAAAATCCTACCAATTGACATTTTTCTCAGCCAAAGTAATAACAGGAATAACAGTGATGGCAAAGCAAGCTTAAAACTGCACAGATTGCCAGAAACCACAACACACACACAAGATGTAAAGCTACCTCTCGTAACTTAACACCAAGTCACACAATGCATGATGCTTTCATGAATTAACTCTTTGCTTTATTTTTGACACATGATCTCGACATACCTGAGGTCATACAACAAACTTTCTGTCACTCTTCTTGATACACACAAGTCACCAAGAGTTTTTTTCAAATCAGAAATTTAAGTTGTTGTTCCTTCTGAAAAAGGATCTAGTTGACACCTAGCAAATGATTGCAAAAAATTACTAACAGTAAAAGTTTGTATTTATGTTAAAAAGTTTTTGAGTACCCACAATTTACACTAAAAACAATGGCAGGAACACCAGTTTCAACACAAAATATAATACATAAATTTTTAAATAATAACCAAGAATACAAGCTCTGTGCTAGTTAACCCTCTGACCCCAAAGAGTGACTGGCATCTAATTTCTCCTAACACTGTCATCCCTAAATCACACAGAAACGTCATGACAATAAAGGAAATGATCACCAACTAAATAAGCTCTCCTTAATCACTTGATTACTTTCTCTTTCAGCAACAAGTGTTGGCCCATGCCATAATATCCACAAGATTTCATAATTTTTCCTTTATTGCATTGTGTTGTTGTGTTTTTGTGTTTTTGATCTAAAGCAAACAAATGTTGGCCCATGGCGTAATATCCACAAGATTTCATACTTTTTCCATTTTTGCGTTGATTTCTTCTGTTCATGTTAAAGCAGACAACGAACCATGAATAAAGAATTTAACTTTGACAAAGTTATTTGAGAATCTTTGGACATATTAATATGATATTATCAAAGAATAGAAGGTTCATCTTGGCCGGAAACTATGGTCTTTTTCTGTACGAAATGATTTCAAGTTGTCAACACAAATAACTCTACAACCCTTTGTGCGGTGATTAATACATACATCCCGATGTGACCAAAACAACACACCTAATGACAAAACTACTACCAAACTTTACCAACCTTAACTGAGTAAAAATGCCTTTTCCCTATGCGATGAACAATTGTTTTGAAAATCATGTTCCATCATGTTCCATTGTTTAGTATCCTGTTCGCCAGCAATCTTGAAACCAACTCCCAAATGGAAATTCATCAACTCGACCCTCCTTTTCTTTCATCTATAGCCAATTCTACTGTCTACAAACGATTCGCCACGCAACAACAAACATAGTCAAAACTTTGACGCCATCATTTACTCCGTCGTAATTTCGGCCATTTGCTGCAACAAACCGACTACGCTTTAAGATAGATCTCCCTTAGAAACAACCTCGTTACTAAGAGACCAGTGTCAACCAATATTCCCAACGACAAACCGGTCTAACACTACCAATTGTCTCGTCAGGCGGCCCTTTTTGGCCAATATACTTCCATAGGAATTACTTTTAGCGTCTTATACCCTCTCCTTGATAAAATCGAATCATTTCAACACAAATCATTCATGTAACACGACGAATAGAGCGTGTAAATTTACTCGCTGAAGGTACCTTTCAAAAAAGTACGTCGCTAAAGTTTGTAAAGTGCGTCAAGCTTTCGAACTAACCGAACAGCACGGTGAAATAAGCGATTTTACTATCGCGCTTTAAATGAGATTTATCGCGCGATAAAAAAAATTGTGACATGTATGGGCCACCGTAAGCCACCCTACGATCACGCACGACCCAACAAGTTTTCCATTTATCGCGCGATAAAATTCAATTTAAAAAGTAGATAGCATTTCCTCTATGGCCCACCGTATAAATGAAATTCAGCGCGCGATAAAATTGAACTTATGAAGTGGATAGGATGTCCTCTGTAAACCACTTTATGATAGTTGCCGTGGACAAGACGACAAAGACTGCAACCGTTGAGGAGGTAAGTCTTGAGGTCGTTTTATTTTCGTCAAAAGATCATTGAGCACTACTTTGCAATACTTCTTCAACATATAGCTTTGTGAATCAGTAAAGTAAACCTTGATTTCGCTAAATCTTGCGACACACCTTCAGAGATAGCTACAAGTGAAACAAGAGTGAATTATGTGAGCTTTCTTATTATATTTCTGTTTTGTTAATTTCTAGACGTCACTTTTGCATCGCCAACCCTGTTAAGAAAGAACTTTCCAGCTGTCGCACCCATGGTCGTCTTGTCCACCGAAACAACGGGCGTGACAGCGGATCACGTGCGACTTAACAAGGTTCCCACTATCGCATGATAATTATTTTTTATTTATCGCGCGATAATTTCCATTCATTTTTCCCAGAGGGCATGGTAACGAATCTTACAATCTGAGCTGATTGGTTCTCACGGGCACGGTAACGCTTCCGTGACTCGCGGAACACATCCCTACCTTCGCTGCCATTTTTCATTAATTTATCTCATTTTTCCAGCTGGGCAGTATTTTTAAGTAAAGAAGTCGATCACTACCTCGACCGATAAATAACTTATTAATCCCCTCTTTACTCTCTCTCAAATCATAATGTTGACAGTAAATATTGCTTTCGAAGGATCATTTGTAGTGGTAACTGCACAACAAAAACTGAAAAATTTTAAGAAGGAAAAGCCGCATTTAATCCCCTTGTGTCTTGTTGGAGTATCTAATTCGAATTTAGTTTGCATCCATTAGAATTTTGTTCTTCAGTCTCATGGAAGTAGTGTTGTTCAATAGATTGCATAGAGTATATGCAGTTTGGTTTCAGATTTCAGATTTCAGATTTTGCTTTTTTCAACAAGTGTACGTTTTTCAACTATTGGCATACTTGGCATACATGGCATACGAAGCACACAAGGCTTTCATGGCTTTCAAAGCATATAAGGCTTCAAGTGCTCGCGACTCAATCCGTTCCAAAAATACCGCTCAACAACATCTTTTAGTGTGGATTGGCCGCGAACAATACGACTTGTGTATGCGTCTGTAAGTATTTTGGGCGTTTGCACCATAAAGCTCCGGGTAATCGTAACCCAAAAACGTATAACCTCCATAGCCAAAACAACAACTCCAGAACAAATACAAATTGGCTGACAAAAGAGTTTTATTAGCAAAACTCTCGTGGTTCGTCATGTTACCCGGCCCTGTCCATGCATGACAACGTCAATCATCATCAAGATAACACACGTGATCAGCATGTGAACACCTTCACCCTCATTGGATCACAGTTAGTTGTTATTGTGTTGAGGGCCTAATGACCACTGGATACTATTGCGCAATTTTCCCATTTCGTGGCGGAGGAAAAAAAAAGGCGAAGCAGAGGTATCCCAGTAATGACTGACCGGTCCATTAAGAGAAAGTTCTGTAGTCCAGTCCGATTTTAAACTTACGTAAAGAGTAACTATGGCGACCTGGTCAGCTTGCTTTCTCTGCCTAGTACCCAGACTCTGTGAGAGTTTCCTTTTGACTTCTTGGTTGCATGGCGTTTTGCACGACAACATGAATTTGGGTGCAATTTTGTTTGAAAAGACGAGGCAAGCTCCATCGCCGAGCAAAGACTTTCATCAGCTTCTAGTAACAGAGAATCAAGTGATTCTAAGAACATGGCGGATCTCAATAAGAAAAGACCAACGATACATTCCACCAAGCCAGCGAAAAGTACCAATCGAAGAATTTGACGATGACTCCTTACTTCAGACAGACATCAACCGTATTTTTGGTGAAGACACGCTCCGTCTTGTACACAGCATAGTATGTAAAGACTGGTTAGCCCGTCTTCCTCAAAATGTCCTCATTCATTTGTTGTCATTCCTCGATCTTGTCGACATTGCAAGGCTAGGATCAGTATGCAGGTCTCTTCGGAAAGTTTGCTCAAGCGACGAGTTATGGGAGAAGATTTTCCTATCCCATTGTGACACCATCAACGACGAAACTCGATCCCTAGCAAAGGAAGTCGGTTGGAGGAAAGTGTTCTTTACTAACAAACTGCAGCTTCAGGTTCAAATGAGACGACGTAAAGAAAGAAATAGCGCTGAAATGAAAAGAAAGATAACTCCAGCTGAAGAGCAGATCCCACTAACATTTGTCACTCAGTCAAATGGCAACTACGATCACTATTAATCAACTATTAACTGGTGTCCATTGAGTTTTTTTTGTGTTAGCCATTTTCTGTGAAGGTACTTGATTTGTAACCAAGTTAGCTCTAAGTTATTAGTAATAAGTTAATTGGTTTTTCAAAACATGCTCGTAGCTAAGAGTTATTTGTTGCGTTGTAAATTATATGGATGGATAACTTTTGTCTGCAGAGACACCAGAGGCATGCTGAAATTCTTTAAGGGACCCGTGTAGCATACTTTAACAAACTGGTCAGCTTTGAAATTCAATTTCAGAAGTAAAGAAGGTCACAATGCTGGTTTGACATGGATAATTTTGTTTATATGTATACAGTAATTTGAGTTTTATTTTGCTACAAAAAAAAAAAAACAAAAACAAAAACCAAACCTCATGATATCTACCTGTTACTGTCTATGATCCAAAGGTTCAGGTGTTGATCAATTAGAATGAGTATTAAAAGTGAAGTTCATATGGATGGACTTAGATACTTTGTTGTGTGTTTACAATACTTTGAGTTTTATTTCATTAAAAAAAAACAACAAAATTGAAACTTAACTTACATTGAATTGACGTTGTCTACCAGTCACTGCTTTTGTCACTGTAGTTGTTTGGCATTTTTACATCCATTGAACTTTGTAGTTGAATAGTAAGCATGCAAGTGAACTGACAGACTGAAATCAGTGTTTATGGTTTTCTGAGTCTCACAGTAACCAATATTCATATACTTGAATGTATTATCTTAGTAAAGTTAAGAGTAACTTTATCAAATTTTGATATTAACTTAATAACACTGTTTTACTTTGTTTAGAAAAGTTGGTTGTTAAAATGCTTTTAACCAATAAATATTATGGGTACATAGACAGTGTGTAATAACATATCTTAAAGGACTCACCATATACTGGTAATATCTAATTTTTATTCCTTTGTGTGAGGAGAGAAAATATCAGTAAGGTATCCTGACAAATTGGAATTTGATTTCCAAGTGGCTTGTTGAACCCAGACTTGCTTCTTGAAAAACAATGGATATTGTTCAAAGTTGTGGTGGTGTAATTTCAAAAATGCTCATACTTAGCTGTCCCCCATCTCTTAGTTACTATTTAGCTCTCTTTAAGTCTTGTTTTGCAAATTAATTTCTCAGTCCTCAACAGAACTGTTCCACCACAGTAACTATCATCCTTTGTTATAATGATTAAAAAATAATAATAAACTGGGCAAATTAACCAGGCTGTGATAAAACGGAAGTTGAAAATGACAAACTTAATTTCTTAACATTATAGGAGACTTGCAGAACAACTGTAAATCAAAAGTATGGAGTTGAAAAAAGCAAAAGACAAAAACACATAACTAGACAAAAGTTGCTGCAAATTTTGTTTTTAGTTTTTTCCACTTTTGTTGTAAATGTTAATAATAAATTATTATAAATTATTGCTATTTAGATGTTTGGTAAAAACTAAGAGTGTCTTCAACCTCTGTCTACCAAACCAGCCCACTAAAAAAGAGTAAGTAATGGTAACTTGAAATAAACAACCACACTGCAGTACTCAATACCAATTTACTTTGTTTTACATGTTTAATCAACTCAGTATAACTAAAAGCTACTTGTCGAAAGAAACATTAACCAACAATAAAATATCAACCATGAATATTTTTTAAAATTTGTTTTCAAATCATCACAAACCAACTCACTCCACACTCCAATCAATGAATACCACATCACTGTTGATGATAACAACATGCTTGCTCACAGTACAATTTTTGATTGTGTACCACAAAAATGAATATCAAAGTTATCACAAGGCTTATCAGAATGGAGGAAAACATCTCAGTTGCAAGGATTGTAGAGTGTAATTTCCAGTTGGCCAATACCAGATGCATAGAGTGATAAAAGGAAAGAAAAGCAATCCTAGAATAATTGAAAGTGAGCCCTTCACTCAGAAAATTACATTACCACTAACCTACATGTAATACTTTAAAAAAATAACATAGCTTCCTTGTTTGATTTCCACAGTATAAATAGAGAAAAACATTTTAAAATTTAAATAATCCTTGTACAGTTAAGACATATCCTATAAACTTTAAGACAAAAACTTTCAATCTTTTGTTGTAAATCTACATAAAATTGTGTATGCTTAAAAACACTTTTCCACTCTGAAATTTTTAGTAAATACACCATGAAGCTTAAAAAATGGTCTTCACTCCTGTTATGTCAGCTGACAGATGTGTTTGGCCAGAATGTCAAAGGATTTGTGCTGCTGCCACTCTGAGGTGTGTGTGGTAACTCCTTGATATCCACAACTTCACAAGACATCATGCTACAGCTTATCTAACAACAAATAACAATAACAATAATTAATCAAACTCCAAGGACTTATGGGGGTGTTTTGAAGGAAAATGGCTTTTATTAGAGATTGAGACTTAAAAGAGAGGCAGCCTGGGAATGTTAATTGGATATAGTGCATTTCTGAGCTGTTGTTAATAAATAATAACATTGGCCTTGAATAATTACTTTATGATAGATCATTATTACTGCTAACCATATTCTTGGAACTGTTTCTGCGTGACAGTTGAGTACTCTTGGATTTCCCTTCCTCTTCTTTCTCAACTGTGCTAACATGAATATCCTCTGCCGCTGGGGGCCTATTGAAGGACAACATTGTAAAAATAAATAACTACATATTAAATAACTTTGGTGAAGAATTCTCACAGGTCAAATTCTATGAAAGCACACCCCTATAGTACAAGGACACAACTGAGGGGCCCCACAGGTGTCCCCATAAGGAACCACTGTAAAATTCATACCTTGATGAAGATATTTCAGAAGGTTGAATTTCATCTCTAGCCACTGCTTCGCCATTTTTTTCTGGATAATCAAAAGAAAATAAGCTAAGTAACACATTTAAATATTGTTATTATTAGTGCATGTAAAATTTAAATACGATCATGATGTACAATAAAAATTCTTCAGAGTTTAAAAAAGAAACAAAAATTTATTAAAGTGAATGCAAAAAATTGGTCAAAGAGAGAGAGAGCACGACTGTTAAGAAATGACAAATGTCAGTCGAGTGGCTGGGCTAGGTGGTAATTATCAAAAAAAAAAATATATGCAGAAGAAATAGTACACTACCTACTAAAACATACAAGCACAAAGAAACAACAAAAAAATCGTAGGGGTTTGATACTTATTTACCTATTTTTTCACAAGCATATCAATGTTCAAATCACAGTTGAAAATATCAAATTGTATGAGAGGATTGTTGACACAAGTTCAACTCATAGATTTAAGATCTTCCATAAAATTACTGATTTTTGAACAGTTGAAAAGAACATTGAATTCTCTGTTGTTAACCCCATTGATATACTGTTGGTCATACCAATTTGCTTTGTTGATACAAATTTACTTTTGAAAATCTGTTACAAGTAACTGGTAGTCTAATAGAATAAAAGATCCATGGAGATAATACGACATATTAATTACCTTTTTTCCTTCCATTTTTCCTCCTTGGACGAACATTCTTTTTTTTCTTCTCTTCATCACTCTGGCTACTGTGGCCATTCCTTAATGCCACGCCTGGTTTGCTTCTGTGAAAACTAATGAACTGCTTGTGGACATCAATAGTGCTGAGAAGATAAACAAACTTTTAGAATTTTTTTTAGAACTAAGGAGTAAATCTCTTTGGCCTAGATAATTTACTGATGCAATTAGATTCAGTTAAAAATTTCACCAAGCACTTGAACAATTGTTGTAGGTTACTAGAGAGAATTCCGGATTTCTCCTATTTCTCAGAATATTTTCATTTATTGTGTGACCTTTTTCCAGGTCTTAATAATTAGTTTAAAAATGTTGAACAACACTCTGGTCTCAAAACAACCCTAAATATTGATAGAGACAATCATAAGGCACTCTCACAAAGCATCTGAACAGAAATGATCTCAATAGGTTCCTAATATTGATGATAATCAATGAAAGTTCCACTTAATTAACAGATTCAGATTGCTTTTACCTCATTTTAATCTCAACAGGAGATGATAAAGATTTACTGGACAATGATGTAGGCTGGACATGACCTTGGGGCTGATGACGTAAATTGTGCACCAGCCTCAGAGTTGGACCCTGTTTTGATACAAATTAAACATAAACACAAATGCAAAAGAAGTAATTCAAGTGAGAGAAATGGTGGATAAATTTGGATCAAGGATGCTGGCTGACCACTTTAATCTTACTGCAGCCCCAGGGCATGAAATTGTGCCTAATACAGGCGCCAGTGTGACTAAATTTTTCAATTTGGCGACCAAATCCTGAAAATCAGTTGCCAAATTGGCGACTAGAATGTTTCATCATAACCTTACCTAGAGATATAGTGAATTAAAAAGATTTGCAAAGATAAATCCACAGCAAACTTCCTCATCAAGTTTGTTTCCAAAACGCAGCACATGCATCTCGATCGATAACTAGACGCCATCTTGGATTTAGGTGAGTTTGAACGTTGCATATCATCAATTCTAGTGTCCACTTTGTAGCTAGTTAAAGATCATTTCTCTAACTTAATTTCTAGAACGGTGACAGCGTAAAAAACAGGTTTTGTTTGTCTTTGAAAATGGCGACCAACTTTTTTTGAATTGGCTACCGCTTTGAAGAATTTAGGAGCCAAGTGGCTATCAGAAAAAAAAATTAATTTCACACCCTGAACCCTTAGCAATACTATTTATAGAAATCTTTGCTTCATAAGTGACAGATAGGCTTTCACAAACTATTAATTACATTTTACCATATGAACTGTTTCTAAATAAAGCATAAATATGTAAAACAATCAAAGTGAATGCCTCAGCTAGCTTACTCACTCATCATGCTGGACCACAACCTCAGTGAAACACAGTCATCTATCTCAGATATACTTTGTTATGTTAACACTGTATCTATTGAGTTGCTCATTGCAGGCCTTGATTCTTATAGGCAGAAACTTTCCTAGAGTCCCCAGGTAACAAGTTACAAGATCTTTACAGCATATAACATGAGATTAGTTGCTGTCTGGATAACTTACCGTTTTGGGAAGTTCCAAAGAAACTCTTGGTTGTTCTTTTGCTTTGAACACCTTAAAGTAAAGCACACAATATTTGTTTGTATACAAAAAGCCAATAATATTATTCATTTAACACTGTGTTTAGATGTGAGCCAGGAAATTGTAACTGGTTGTAGTGCATAAATTTGAGGCTCAAAGATAAATCTCCTAAAATCATATGAAAAGACTGAATGGCCTCTCTGAAGTTCTGTCTGCACAAAGTCCTATAATTGACAGCTAAACAACATTTCTAGGGGGAACTTACAAACACATGTCAAGCAAGAACTCTTACTATTCAGGAGGAACTTTCAAAAAGAAAAGGAATGTCAAATCTTATAGCTAAATGTAGTCCATGCCCCAAAAGAAAATGTTTGTGTTTTGTTTTTCTTTGAAAGTTTATCAGTTGACCTTCAAGTTGATAATATGTTGGCATTCCAACATATCTAATGTAAATTATTGCATAACATAAAAGTCACATAATGGAAAAGAAAAAAAAAACACAACAAAGTTGGCTCACTGTTGCTCTCAAAGGTCCTGGCCCAGATAACTGATCTCTTCTGTTGGCTCCTGACAGAGTCCCAGGTGATGAAGAGCATGTATCATCATGATGGTTCTTTCCACTCTTTCCACTCTGGGCCCCTGTTCCTTGCAAGGATGTCTTTTGGGTACTTGCCAGGTGATATGGCCGCCTCACAGTATCAGTAGCTGGCTTTTTACCTAAAAATTGAGGAAAATCAGTTGATACAAACCCTTTCCATATGTGTCATTAATCAGGTGTGAGGATGAGATACCTGAATAATGGCCACTTTCTTTTTTTCTTCAGGGAACTAAGACAAAGTTGAGAGCCATAAAAACAAAGGAAACCAGGCTTATACTGGTCAAGTAAGGTATAGTCAAACAGAACATGGGATCAGTTTCATCTAGCCCCTTACAAAAGGAACATGGGCATTGTTAACAATATCAAAGTTTTATTTCACTACAAAGGAATAAATGGTTAATTTTTAAATGTGTACCAGTTTCCTTGTTAACATTTGTTCCATTCTGTGATGGATGATCTGTTGTTCTGTGCCCTCCACTAGCTGCGTTATCAGAAGACACATCACTGGATGAACTTGCCAATACAGATAATTTCTGACGTGTACTTGCTGTTGCTCCTGCCACCATACTGAAAAGTGTTCAGATTAAGTCCGTTGAGGAACTGCTGCAGCCCTCTCTACATATATAGGTTTCCAATGGGGTCTGACAAAGTTGTACCATCTAACAGAATGATTACCAGCCACACTGCACCAAATTTACTTATTTGTTGGCTAGGTAATAACTAATAATTCCTTTCTTTTTTTTTTTTTCAGTTTTTGTTACCTGATTTCTCTTCAAACTTACAGTCAAAAAGTTGGAATAGTCCACTTGTTATAAGGGAAGCTCTTTGAGCATGCAAGATGAAGCAAATCCTATGTTCTGATTGGCTACGCTTATTCCATTCCCAGGGAGAGAGAAATACAGCAGTTGTATGTCTTGAAGGAAGTCAGCACAAGTAACACCATGAAAAAAGTGAAGAAAGATTATTTGCTGTAATTGTTTAGCCAATTAATAAATCCTTCCACAACCAAGAATGTTTGATCAAGTTAACTGGATATGGCCTTACCCTAATTTGCTTTTTCATCATCTTTTAAGGAAACAGGTTTGGTTAATAATAGAATTATGACATAAACCTAACAAAAACTTGAGTATCAGTGGTTGAGCGAGATAAGGAGGAAAAAAAACACTAACTTAGAGGATACACACATGAAATATCACAGCACTTTGCATACCTTGAAGTTTTAGTAATAACTCGAGAGAGTTTCTTGGGTACTGAGGGTGCATTCTTGGAACTCTTGACAAACCGCCTGACCCAATTCTTGACTCCTTCTAAAGATGTAAACTCACTGAGAGGAAGTCGTGTCCAGGGGTTGGTATTGTTCATATCAAGTACAGCCACTGCCATTGCTCGCCCCACCTGTCAACAACAAAAAATGGCAAAAATAAACCAGAATAAAAAGTTTGCTCATAGGCCAAGTGGCTCACACCACTATAACCTATCCAGTTTTCATCTGCATTTAGCCACTTGGGATAGCATTGCTAAGGGTGTACATGATATCCAAGTGCACAACAGATCAACCCCACCTTAGGTGTGGCACATCCAAGAACACAACACAAGGACCCCAGCATGGTTTGAACATGGAGTTCAAAGTGCTGACCACTGACACATCACATCTCAGAACAATGTATGTGGTCTTATCAACTTCTGATAACCATAATGAACAACAAATCAATCTTAAGAAGTAAAGCAAATTTGCTTGACAATGTAACCTCATTTTACCTCTTCATAAATCTCTGGTGTATACTTGGGTGGGAAGCCAGGCAAAGGAGGTGGAGTAGCACACCCATTATCGCAAGTGGCAGGTGGCAAGCAATTGACTGTGCGCCCACAGTTGTAGTTACACTCTAGTGTATAACTGATAGAGAAATCATATTGATATCAAACATTGCCAAATAGTGATAAAATTAATGTATCTTGCTTGATGGCAAAACATATCATAATGTAGGTATATATTTTATGATATTATATATTACAACATCCCAAGCTGAAGGGAAAAGCTCAAAGATCATATTTACTAAACAGGTATGCACCTGTTTAGTTACAGAGGACTCTAGTATAAATTCAAGCTAATCAAAAGTTCACTGCAGCTCAATTGATAAAACACTGGATTGCAAAATCAAAGGTTTGAGGTTCCAAACATCTCAAATAAATCAGGTTTTTTTTTTGACAACCTTACCCATTATTAATATTTGTCTTTTATGCTAATTGCATAGTAATTTGACACCTATTCTATCAAAAAATACATCAAAAGGAATCAGTCAGGATCATATCAATCAGTATGGATTGTGTGTGTGAGTGCTAAAGAAATCTACAATTTGAGCATTACCAGTACATGCTCACAAAGATGTGTTCAGAATAGTAAGAGTTTAATCATTATCAGAAGTCTATTAAAATTAAAATGTTTCTACTGTACATCTCCTTGCCAACCTGTGAATTATCCCAGTGGCTTTATAGATGGCAACCCTCCCACTTCCTTCTTTGGACATGCCATCTCGCTTGTCCTTGCTGTACATGTTCTTTTCAGTAAAGTTACAAGCTGCAAAGTCAAAGTTTGTTGAATTCAAAGAGATGAGTTTTGGGAATAAAATAGAGCTGACATAATTGTCTTCATTCTCCAGGTAATTTGCATAGACAAAGCATCCGCGCTTTGAAGCATGGCCATGCAGATCAACATAGTATGCAACCCCACTGCTTTGCTCAGATGAAGTCTGTGAAGAGCAATAGGTGCAATTTGCAGGTTCTTTCTTGTTCAACACCGTTTTGAACTGAGGCTGGTCTAGAGTTCTTGTATTTAACTGCTTTTCTGAATGGCAGTCACTTGACATGCTGCTTGTACTTTCATTTGAAAGCTGATTAGAAACAACAGTGTCCATTTGAAGTGCATCATTTGAGGCACCAGTCTGAACATCAGGTGACATTTTCAATGCTAGAGAGTCTAAATTTGATGAGAGTGTTTCCTTGTTCTTGTTATTGTTGGCATCTTTGTCTATCATTCCATTGCCCTCCACACTTATGAAATCCATTTTTACAGACTCAGGTTCTGGCAACTCTGGCTTTAACTCAGAAGGAACTGACTGCAAATCTAAAATATCTTTGTTTGTGAAGAATTCAGAGCCAGTTTCAACAGATGTAGTGTTAAGGTTTACAATGACTTTTTTTGCCTTCTCTGTATCACATACACAAGCATTATGGTGCTCAGAATCTTTGTGCAAGTTTCCTATAGTGTGGTGATACAAAATGATACTTTTGGCTGCAAAGATTGAAGGATGAAGGAGAGGATCAGGATCCATATACACTCGATTCAAGTTCACACCTTGCTGATCAGTGCGGTAATGGCCACGTTTGACACCATCTGGATTCAACATTGGTATCAACTTAAACACATATTGGTCCCGTAATGCTGCAGCTCTGGGATCATCTTGGCGTAAAATAAAGTCTAGGAATCCATTGAATACAAAACTTGATGGAGTTTCCCCTGGATGTACCCTGGCACTCAGGAAAAACACCTGGAAGAGTTATAGGAAAGAGTTGAAATTCATCACATCCTATGGGAACATTTAACACATTATGGTGAACAAGTATTAGTTTTCCTTGACAAGTGCAGTTGTCTAAAAAACTTGCTAGTGTAAATGCCTCTTAACCCTTTAACACTGAAGAGTGACTGGCTTCTAATTTCTTCTTGCAATATCACCCCTGAATCAAACATTGAGGTCATGAGAATCAAGGCAATGATCACCTACTGAAAAAGCTCTTGATTTTTAAACAAATTCTCCTTGTCAGCACCACAGGAAATGTATAGAAAGCAGTATGGAGAATGTGCACCCTGATGTTAGAGTGTAAAGGGTTAAGAATAAACAAGCTTACATGACATGCAGTGCAACTCAGTGCTTTTGAAGCTTTACTTAGATTTAAAAGCATGGCAGACTACCATGATTACTTTAATCTTTTTTTTCTACACTAGATAAAAATGATTCCTACCTTCTTCCCTTCAAACTTGTGAGCCCTAGGAACAGTTTTGTCTGGAAAAAGACTTGGCAGAGATTCTTCCCTCTCCTCCATCATGCCCTTTGCAGAAGTTATTGTTAGAAGGTCTACTCTTAAGCTGTCCAGTGTGTAACACAAAAGTTCCCGATAGAAATAGATAGAGTCTTTTGGTTCAGAGGGGGTCATTTGCTGACATATGGTAAAGCTTCTGTCTAAATCATCAAGCTTTGCTTGGCAATCTGAGTATGAGTATGGATAGCAGAAAGCAAAGTAGTGAACTCCACTGCGCTGATCAGGAAAGCGATAAGTGAATGACAGTCTAAACTGGCCATCAACAGTCTAAAGAAAAAGGACAGAGACAACAGTTTATGAATACAGTTTTCACTCATTTTGATTATTTTAAAATTGCAAAATAAAATTTCCGCCCAAACACTAGTGGGATATTTTCAAAAGCTACCACCTACTATTGAACCTAGGAGTTGAAGTTTGGGATACTTCACTTTCATAAGTTAGCTTCCAGCAAACCTTAACAATAATTACAAACAAGTGCTTTTTTTCTATTTGCTTCATGACTTAATTTGGAAATACAGTAGTAATTTCTTACTTTATAACACAACCTGCACAGTGAAAACTACAAAAATAAAACAAACCACACCTAACGTGACAAAATGTTCTAACATCCACTTCACCTCAATAATAGATACTAATTAATTTTATTCAAGTTTATTGATTAATTTAATTAAATAGGAAAGAATATAAAGCAAAGTTTGGATTTTTTTCCTAAACGCTTATAGGACGCCTCACCTCATATTTCGGTTTATCTCGTATTCTCTCCCATTTGTTCCTGGATGGGACAACCTTCACCAGCGGAGTCATGCCTTGACCGTACAACTTTCCCTGTCGATTTAAATTCAAGATATTTATCCGTAAAAGTTTTCCAGGTTGACCTCCTTTGATACCGAAATAAAACCATGTTCGATTTTGATTTTCAAACTCGGTGCCAGCACAGTCGGGAGCCGTCCAAACATTGTAATCAAAGTCAGGATTTATCACCACAGCTCCATCACAATCCTCTGGACTGGAAGAAGCGTCTTCAGTTTTTACTCTTTCAACGCGCGCTAAATTTCCCGAGTCAAAGTTAGAAATAAAAGTAAAAGGTCCTACTTTCTCTTCCATAACCTCTCATGTCCCATAACCGGACAATCCATGCTGAAAATATAACATTATTTTATAAACACATTTCTTCAGGCGCTATCATTCCGCCATTTTTAGTGATGTTGTCGAGTCGTTTCCAACTGCCCGCCGTTACCTCGCAACCATGTCTAGTGCTTAGTCCATCGCCATTACTTCGGCGGTCTTTCCAAAGAGGAGCGCGAACAAAGTCATTGTGGTAACACCCTCTTTTCTTTTGTTTATTTATTCATTTATCACAAAATTTTAACTATAATTTGCAACAATTAAAAGCAAAATGACTAATGTAGCGAGGAAACCTTAGAAAAATGGAGCATATTTTAATTTCCGCTTCGTCTCCGTTTCTAATAATTTTTTTTTCTCAGATAAATAACGCAACCACCTGCACCTTCACAGATTCATAGACGCTACAAGCTCTAACATGAAACAACTTGATTTCCGTGCTTTCGCAACCAGACGAAGCTAAATCTGTAAATTCTTTGTTCTTGACATCTATAATTTTTTTCTTTAATGCCGAGAGGGTTACCTTAATAAAAAAAAATTAAAATTCATGCAAGGGAAATTGGAATGTAATTTCAAATCTCTTTCCATAATGTGGCTACATAATATCTAATTGTTATACCGTTTTAATTTCGCTATTTATTTTTTAAAACGTGAGCGTGTTTGATGGTTTGAAAGCTCCTTCATAATTTTTCATAATTATTTTTACCAAGAGAGCATTAAAAGTAATGGCTCTTATATTTACTAGGCCACTGATAGCGTGGTCATTCGAGGAAAACCAACGTAAATTTTTCGGGCGCAGTGGCTAAATATTCTGTCGGGAAGGAAGGTTCCCCAGAAGTAAAACTTGTGCCAAGGGGTTTCTTGCAGATTAACTTATTACAAAAACAGCTAGTCTTTGAACAATTGACTCCAGAGTGTTCAAGTTGTCAATAAAGACAAATAATTCAATATCATTTACCATCACCTTCAAAACTGCATCCTTATGACCACATTAGCAATAAATAATATAACTAACAACAACTTCATTCAAATCTGTTTTGTGATCACGATCCTAAGAAAATTAAAAAATCTCGACCAGAGCCCTATGATAAAAGATGCTGGCCAAAAGTTTTGCGGCTTTAGGAATAATTAATACACAGTACATCAACTGTGCGCTGCTATGCGCATGTGCATACTATCACTTTAGGCGGCACCACAGATGGTCGCGTGCTGTTTATCTGCTTTACGGATCCAACCATTAACATAGGTATCTTAAAGAATGAAGTGACTTTTCGATAAAAGTTCTCGTCAATTTACCCAAGAACAGGCCACTACCACCAGTTAAAGGAGTTTGATTAAGTTGTCCTTTAATCAGTCAATGTCTTCAATGCTTTTCCATGAAGTACCACCATGAAGTGAGTCAGGAAAGGTCCTACTCCGAAAGCTCCAACTAAGAAAGTTGTTTCTCGGGGTGCTTGACCTTTCACCATCTTAATGAAGCCTTGTTAGATTGAGCTGTGTCCAATTCCGTGGAAATCCTCTCCTGGAATAACTGTTTCTCTTTTAAGTCCTTTCAGCTTCGCTGGCGAGAGCTCTTTGTTTTCTCTGTGGAGGAGAAAAAGTTAAAATTTGAGAAATAAAACTCGCTGAAGTATAATTTTCCTCCAACCATTGTAACATCCTTAATCAGTCTCCACTTTCCAAAGGCTAACATAACAGTTTTTTGGGCACGAGGACTTGTCAAAAAAGAAAAAGCTGTAAAATTTCCCCTGCTACAGTTCTGCGGAAATCAACTGATGGGTGAGTTCAAGAGAACAGGGAGAAACCCTCAGAGCAAGGACGGTAACAAATCACTAAATGGACCCTCATTTAATGCCAGATTCGAATGCTTAACCCTAACCAAAGCTACATCTCTATCTTAAAAAGCCCCTACTGGTCAACCAGGCCTTTTCCTGATTTCAAAGTGAAGGAAAAAGCCTATGAAAGCACAGCTTTTTGAAGAAGAGTATTGAATGAGGGAGCACGAGGATTCAATTAAGAGATAAAAAGACATTAGGACTTTACTCAACGAAGTTTGATTTCAGAGAAGAGCATCATTTTCTCCGAGAAAAATAAATGGAGTTCAAAAAAATGCCATGAAATACGGAAAGGAACCCAACAGACACTCACCCAGTTTGTATTTTCCTCGCTGGTGATCAAGTCAATTATTGCCCGCAGCAGAGCACTTTCTCTATTACCCGTCCCAGTCCCCACGCTTAGCTTCGTATCCGGCTTAGCGATTTTCTGTCTAAGCAGTTTGTCGAGTTCGACTCGTAACTCCTGCCAAGGTAAAACGAGAAAATGTCGACTCGTTATCTGGCAAATAGTAATACTACAAAATTGAAAACATTTTCGAAAAATTGGTCATCTCTGAAATGAATGTTGTTATTGAACTGTCTTTGATTTCAAGACAAGCATCCTCAGTGTGCAGTATTTCAAGAAGAAGTTAATTTCAAATTAATTCACATTTCTTATGTAGCTAGTCCTTCTAAAAACAAAAACGGCCTAGAAACATAGGGAAAAGCGATGAGTAATTGCAGATTCAACTTAGGGATTTTGTATCGGCGCTAATCTGTCTGGCATTCAACCCATCTTGTAGAAATAACATTCTTTACCAATTTTTCGTTAAATTTCGAAAGCAATGCAGATTGATTGGTCAAGATAACTAGCGCTACCTACTACACCAATCAAATGGAAAAAAAGTACAACCAAACGTGACTAGATCACCCACGTTTTCCTGTGCAACTTATTTGGTTTTAAATCTGAATTTTCATTTTTTTTCAGATATTTCCCTTTGTTCTCACAGACCCTTGTGATCACTTTAGTTTAGTTTAACGACAAGCATTCGAAAAGCGATACATACTCAGGATTTCATTACAAGTGGTAAGAAAACGAATCACTTTAGGAAAAATAAAACTAACCTTGACTAAATTTGCAATTCTGTTTGGAGACTTGAATTTGATGAAATCGTCGATTGCGACTGTTTCGTAGCCCTCTTCTACAAACACAGAAATCTCGCCGCCAAAGAAGAGAAGGGGGAAGGGTGCTATCATAGTGCTGTCGTACAGGAATAGCTAGAGGTGAACAAAAATGCACCGATTAAACAAAACATACATCGAGAATCCTGACCGTGCATGAGATACTAAGGTAGGAATAAAATGAAATAAAATCCGGAGAGTGCGCGAGATACTGGCGTAGCAATCGAATGAAAGACAATCCTTACAGAGCGCGACATACTGAGGTAGCAATCCAATGCAGGTGAATCCTAGGAGTGCGCGAAAAACAAACGCAACAAGCAAATGAACTAGAATCCTAAGAGTGGGCGGTAAACTAAAGTAATAGGCAAAGAAATGAGAATTCTGGTGGTGCGCAAGATACTAGCGAAACATTGAATGGAAGAGAATCCTATAAATGCGCAAGATACTAACGAAACATTGAATGGAAGAGAATCCTATAAATGCGCGAGATACTAGCACAAAAATAAATTGAGTTAGAATCATGGGGTTTGGCGAGATATTAATGTAACAATCAAATGAATTAGAATCTTGAGAGTTGCACGAGAATCAATGAGCACGATATACTACTTGAACGCAACAATCAAATGAAAGAGAATCTTAAGAGTGCGCGCGATACTAACGTAACAATTGAATGAAAAATAATTTTGAGAGTGTGCGAGATACTAACGTAACAATAGAAAAGAAGAGAAGAATTAGAATGCGCGAGACGCTAATGTAACAATAAAATAAAAGAGAATCTTGAGAGAGCGCGCGATACTAACGTAACAATCGAAGGAAAGATAATTTTAAGAGCGCGTGAGATACTAACGTAGCAATCCAAAAGAAGAGAATCACAGGAGCGCGCGAGACACTAACATAATCAAATAAAAGAGAATCTTGAAAGAGCGCGCGATACTAGCATAATAATCGAAAGAAAGAGATCTTGAAAGTGCGCGAGATTCTTACGTAGTAATCATATAAATTACGATCTTGAGGATGTGCGAGAAATGAGCGCAACAATCAAAAGAATGACAATTGTGAGAGTGCACGAGATGCTTACGTAACAATCGAACGAAAATCTTGAGAGTGCACGAGATGATAACGTAACATTTGAAAGAAAATCTTGAGAGTGCACGAGATGCTTACGTAACAATCGAAAGAAAATCTTGAGAGTGCACGAGATGATAACGTAACATTTGAAAGAAAGAGAAATCTTAAGAGTGCGCGAGAGTATAGAGTAAAAATCGAAGCAATGAAAATTGTGACTGCGCGAGATGCTAATGTAACAATGAAAGAGAATCTTGAGAGTGCGTGAGATGCTTACGTAAGAATGAAGTAAAGAAAATCTTGAGAGTAAATGAGAGACTAAAGTAATAGTCGAATGAAAGAAAATCCAGACAGTGCGCGAAATATTAACGTAACAATCATAGGAAAGAGAATCGTGAGAGTGCGCGACATACTAACGTAACAATCAAAATGAAAAAGTAAACGATTAGAAAAGTTATAAGTGCGCGTGTATTATTGACCTCTTGTTGGAATTTGAGAGAAACACTATGTGCGCGAGATACCAAAGTAACAATCAATTAAAACGAGAATCAGTGCGCGATTTAGGGATGGAACGACTGTGAAAAAGTACTTGTATTCTTTACGTGTGGTGGAAAGCAAGATAAACTAACCCAATCACGCGACTCAATATCGTACAAAGACTTTGCCTTCTAACTAGCCATAGTCATCATAGAATGGATGATGTGATCAATTTGACTCAACTTTTACAACAGTCAGTTGAAAAAAACTTTCTATGGTGAAAAAAGGGCAAAATACTAAGGCCTCCTTTTACTTACCGAGGTAGACTTCATCTTTTCGTGATAAATCAGCCAGTTATCTTCATAAACTCTGACCTCAGCGTTCACTGATTTCGGATGCAAATACACAGTACCATCTTGATGAGTTCGAAGCTTTGGAGGCCTGAAACATAATATGAACTTTTCTCTCTTTCATTCCACAAAAACTTATGCGCACTTCTTTTTTGCCTTTCAATGAAACGTGAAAATAAAGACA